GCTGCCTTTGCCGTTGCTGGTGGTTTCCCCTTCCAAGGGATGATGGGCAGCTGCCACAGGTCCTTGATGCAGCTGCTCTTCTCCTCCAAATCCCACAGCAGCAACTTCCCAAGCTTTGCACGGCAGCTGGTTGGGCCGAACGTGACTTTGGCCTTGCTTTTCTGCAGCCGGCGCACAGAGAGGAGGTTAGCGGATAAACCTTCAACCAACAGCACATTTCCCAGCCCAACAAGCCCCCCATTAGCTCCCATAACCTTGGCATTCCCAACACCAATTACAGGGAGCAAGGCACCTGAAGCGGCAGCCACAAACTTTATCTTCCCAGGGGGCTTCACCTCATCAAGCAAATCTGCCCGTGGAGTCATGTGACTCGTGCAACCTGAATCGATCACCCAGTGAGTGAGGGGGTGCATCACAACCTTCCCAACTGAACCCACATCACCCCCACTCCCTTGCACGTCCTCAACCATGAGGAACATACCAGGGTCGGCTTTACCTTGTGCACCATCACCTTGTGCACCTGAACCTTGCACAGCACCACCTCGTGCACGTTCACCACTTGGCGGCTTCATGCCTGGAGGCGCCCATCCTTCAGGCCGGCTGAAACACTTGAACCATGGGTGTCCAGCCTTCTTGCAGTACCAGCACGCACCCTCCATTCGGGTACTCCCCTTGCCACCAGAGCTTCCATGCCCCTCGTTGTAGTCACCTCGGCCTCTTCCTCTGCCAAAGCCTCTCCCACGGCCTCGGCCTCTCCCTCCCCCTCTTCCTCTGCTGCCTCCTGCAGCTCCATACCCCTCAGCAGTTTTGTTGGCAGCACCACCTCCCATGTGGCGCCTGCGGAAGTCCTCCTGCAGGATCTGCTGCCGTAGCCACTCAGGCGTCCACTTGTCCTGCTGAACGTTGAGGGTGGGGATGAGGTTGTCCCACGAGTTGTCGAGCACCGAGATGATCTTGGTGCACTGCTGCATCTCCGACACCTTGCTGCCCGCCGTTGCCATCCTCGCATAGGTGTCCTTGATCTTGTCAAGGACCGGTTTCACATCGTCTCCCGCCTTCATGGAGAGAGCAGCCAGCTCCTTCTCCATTACGATCACCATCGGCAGCGTGTTGGGTTGTACCACATCGCGTAGCAGCTTCCACGCCTTAGGCCCGGAGTCGTCCAGCTCCACTAGGTCCTTGATATGCTGGAACATATCATTGTTGACCGATTGAAGGATTAGGTCGTACAGCACCGCGCTCTTCTCAATCCATTTGTCGCGGGCATCACCTTCCTCCGGCATCTTCTCTTCTCCCATCGCAAGTTTCAGCAGCTTGTAGCGCTTGAAAGCGCTCCGCATCCGCCCGCTCCATTCCTCGTAGTTGGAGCCGTCCAAAGCCTCGATCTTGGACGGTGGCGGTTCACTCTTCTTCTCAGCTGCTTCTCCACTCATCTCCTCTGCTCCCAATCAGAGGTTTCAGCTCCCCCTTTTGCTGGTCACAATGTAGATCCACAATATTTTCACAAGTGACGGCGCCAACGAAATTTCGGCAGAGTTTCCCCTTAGCGGAAGTCACATCCAACCTCCAGAACTCCACTTAGGCACGCCCACAGGCCATGGTGGGAATAGGAGGGTCTTCACACTTCAGTAGACTCCCCACAAGGTCCTTAATCAGCTCTGATACCACTTGTTAGAGACTAAGGACGGAGTCAATGAAGATTAGGAGCCTAAATTTCTCAAAATCGTTGGCTTGAAATTCTGGACAGAATCGTCGAGTTCACAAGAAACGTCGTCGGCTAAACTTGCACCGTTGGAATTGTCTCAAACTCGAGTATGTTGTAGCCTGTAACCAGGGCTATCTTTCCCAATTTGAATCGTATCAAATGGTGGAGTAAATCTCGAGTTATGATTTTCGGCGCACTAGGGGGTATGCTGCCACATGCTTAACTCAATCACAATGGTTCTCACAAGTTCCACAAAGTTACACACAAGAGAGTTAGGGTAGCACTAAACCAGGTAGGAGGGAAGAGGAGGACGAGAGGGAAGGTCCCAAGAGATTCCCCAACCAAGGAAACCCCATGCCACACAATTCCCTTCCCCATAGGCAACCCCACTTTCACATTTGTCACTTTCCCAACTCATGCCATCCACCTCAACCCACTTGGCCACACTTGCCAACCTGGTTTGGCTTCACCCAACCACATGGCAGCATTCTAAAGTGATGGGTTCGAATTCCCAACCCCCAAAAGTCTGTACCCCATATTGAGTCAACCCCACTACTTCCCATAGTCGCCACAACCGAAGTACAGAAAGCATACGAACTCCAACGTTCGTAACTTTCTTGATATTGCTCCGATCGCGACGATTCTTGGCTCGTCGGAAAGATCTTGAGCAGTGGAGTCACTTCAGATATCTGCTCAAGCCAAATAACATTCACACACACTCAGAAAATCCAAACCACAGAAAAACACAAATTCTTGCGCACGCTCATTTCACACATGCAACGCACGAACACATGATGGGAGGCAGACAGACGTGAATGCAAATGATAGCATCACATAACAGCACATTGCTCTCCGCTACTTTCTTGCTCGTGAGCTGCAGCAGCATGGTCAGTTGCGACTTGCGTACGTGGCCTCTGAGGCCAACACTGCTGATGTTTTCACCAAGGCACTTCTGCCTTGTGATCATCAGCGTTTCTGCACTCAGCTGGGACTTGTCCCAGTCTTGCCTCACTTGCTCACCTCTTGATCTTACTTGTACTCTTGCATATATATATACCTGCTCTTGCTTGTTTAGACTTATATATATATGTCTCATCCTGCATGTGAACTGGCCTTGTGGCCTTGACCTTGTGCTCAGACTGTGTGGTGACGTTGTGATCCACCCTGAGCTTGCTTTGCTTTGCTTTGCTTGACTGGTCTTGTGACCCCTTGTTCTCCCCCACATTGCCTATGGGGGTGTGTCAGAACATTATAGCTTATGCTTTTGTGTAGGCTATAGTGGGGTATCCCATAGGGGGTACAACCCAATTAGGGTTAGTACTTGTACCCACTTCATTCATAGCTCATCCATTTCTCGTTCTCATTCTTCACACCCGCATCCCCAAGCCCAGCAAGGGCAGTGCAGGAGGTGCTGTGAAGCGTGGGACGAGGCCGGCAGCAGCAAGTGCATGCCTGCCGCCGTCCCTCATTCCCAAGCCACGGTCAGCCAAGACTGCACCTGCTGCACTGGCGACCTCAGGGACGGCACATGCGGCTGTGGTAACCCGTCCTGTAGTCACAGTAAGCAGCAGCACAAGGCAGCAGCAGGAGAGGAGGAATGGCGGTGCGGAATGCAGGGGAAGGCGGCCTATCAGGGCAAATAAGGCAACAGCAGCAGCAGCAAGGCCTCCTTGGAGGCCGTGAGGGATGCAGTTTGTGGTGGAGAGTGGGAGGGTGGTGCTGGTTGGAGTGAGCAGAGAGCAGCCAAGGTACGGCTGGTGAAGGCACGGGTGGTGGACGGTGGGGAGGAAGGCGGAAACACTTTTTGCACCCTGCTGGTCAGGGTGTTGCAGCAACTGGATGGTGGATTGGTGCATGGAGGTTGGATTGTGGGAGGCGCTTAGACGACTGAAGGTGCTCACGTGCTCTCCAATGGGTCAGAGGCTGGGCCATGTGATGACCGAGGCTTGTCATGGGATGATTCTGCTGGTAGTGTGCTGCTTAGTTGTCTGGCTTCTTAGAATTTAGTTAATGTACCTGAATGCTATTTATATGTAGTGTTTAGTTGTAAACCTTGTTTGACTGAACAGAGATTTGGAACAACCACTTCAAGCCCAACTAGACTTCAGTATATCAACCAAGCAACGTCACTACATCCAAGCCATTTGAACAGTCTCGGGGAAGTTTCATTCAGCATGCAGTGAGCTGCACCAGCTGAGGTTTCTGCATGCGATGCTCCCGGTATGGTATCACATGCAGCATTCCTTAGAGCCACGCAACATGTCAGAGCAAGCAGGGTACAGCACCCGTCTCTGTTTGCAGCGCTTCAGCTTCAGATAAAATGAAGTCGGCAGATTTTTCCTTATCATGGCGCCTCATTTCCCCCCCCCCCCCCCCGCCTCTTTCTCCCCCCTCCATCAAGATGGTTGCACGGCCGCAGTGCCGCCATGCTGCTGCTGTCTCCCCCTGTGCTCCGCGCCACTTGCAGCTTTGCCGCCCGAATGTCCGCCAGCGTGAATGGCCGCAGCCGTTACACGCGGTTACCACTGCCACCACCACCACCATTGCCGCTGCCACCAGAATCGCCTGCCACTCCTGACAGGCCTGCACCAGTGCTCGCGCACCAGCTGTCCTCGGCTGATTGGAGGGAGACGCTGTGAGGCGGAGGAAAAGAATCTGGTGCAGCTCTATCATCCCCTGCAGCCCTCTCACTCTTTCTGTCCCACCCCCTCCGGAGTTCAGTACAGTGCCGTTCAGTATAATCACCTCGCCAGTGCAGGGCCGACCTTCGCCCCCTTCAGTCAAGATTTCAACTTTTATTCTACTACATTCTCCAGCAAGATGCCAGAGGCTCAAAGGCTTCAAAACTGCAGCAATCCGCTCACCCTCTCCCCGCTCCACAGCTTGCCTGCTTCCAACCAACCTTCCCTGTTTCTTACTTCAACGCCTTTTTTCCGTTCTCCTACCTCCTCACCTCCTTTGCTCATCGCCTTTTTCTCTACTCACCATGTTCTCTCCTCACCTTCTCCTGCTCACATGCAGCGAGTAGGAAAGCCATTTTTCTGATTGCAGCGACCCAACACAGCACACCACTCTGGACAGGAACACACAAGACTCACAATATACCCCAGAGCACCCCTTAGTCATGGCAGCATTTGCACTAGCAGCACCTCCCCTGTCCCTGCCTCACACTGACTGACACCACCCCCCCGTATAGTCACACCCACCTTGACGTCTCACCCATTCCCCCGCACTGCCTCACACTGTCCCTACTTGCTTAACTTAGCCCAACACCCCAGCACCGCACCTCACCGTGCTATGTCCCTCCGTGGCCCGGGGTGAAGGCAGCGCCGTCCTCCAGCCCCTCGCCCTTGAGACTCTCCCCAGCAGACCGAGCAGAGAGAATCGCCATGCTCTTCCCCCTGCTGCCCGTGCCTGGCACGCAAACCATCAGTCTGAGTGGGGAAAAGGGGAGGCGGGGTAGGAGGGGAAAGATGGAGGGGTAAGGGGGAGATTGGAGGGTTGTAGGAGCAGGGAGGGAGTCACGCGCACCTTGTCCCTGTTGCGTGCATGTGGTAGGCCCACCCACATGCTGACGGAGTGCCGTGTACTAGGAGGAATGTAGCACAAGGGGCTCGGGAAGAGACGAGGAAGAGCCGAGGTAGTGCAGAGCATGGGGGTGAGAGAGGGGCGGGCAGAAGATGGAAGGATGCGAGGCGTGGTGGGTGGCTGTGGAGATGGAATGGGACGGAGAAAGTGGGAGCATGTGCAGGGCAGCGCATATGCCCTCCCATGCGCCCTCTCATGCACCCTCTCATGCCCAGCACACCCCATGCCCAGCACACCCAATGCGCAGCACACCCCATGCCCAGCACACCCCATGCCCAGCACACTCCATGCCCAGCACACCCCACCCAGCACACCCCATGCCCAGCACACCCCATGCCCAGCACACCCCATGCCCTGCACACCCCATGCCCAGCGCAACCCATGCCCAGCGCACCCCATGCCCAGCGCACCCCATGCCCAGCGCAGCCTCTAAGGAGAGTGCACCCCCTAATGGAGGCGTGGGAGCGCCACCCAGCTTGGCAGCCGCGGGGGAAGCCTTTTCCTCGGCCGCCTCCTCTTGTGCCGTGCCCTGCCATGCTCCGTGCGGGGGAAGGGGGGAGGAGAGGAAGATGGGGGAAGTGGGAGGGGGAGCGGGGAGAAGGAGAGGAATGTGAGGAAGGAGACCAAAGGGTGTTGTTGCTTTGCCGTGCATGATGATGCTGAGTTGGGGTAAGAAAGGAGGGTGAATTGACTAAAGGTGTTGAACCCCTTTTCACCCACGTCCTCACACCCTCCTCCGTGCCCATGGCAGCAATCACACGTCACATGCGGCGTTACAATGTATCACCCAGAACCCACCTTTTTTACTGAGTATACGTGCGGCGTTACAACAACAAGAAGAGCTTTCCCTTGCTGCCTTGCCGCGCCCCAGAGCAAGTTGCTGTTGGTTGCACGAGGCTCTCTCTCACCCCATGCTGCACTTCACCCCATGCTGCACTTCACCCCATGCTGCACTTCACCCCATGCTGCACTTCACCTCATGCGGCACTTCCACCTGCAGCTTCGCCGTCCAAATGTCCTCCAATGTGATTTGCCGCAGCCGTAACGTGCAGTTACCACCGCCACCACCAGCGCTGCCGCTGCCAGCAGCACCGCCTGCTCCTGCCTTGCCCAACCCTGACAGCCAGTGCGCTCCTGCCCGCACGTCTTTCCTGCATATCGCATACACTTGGATCACCCCATCTGCAATGGCACGCTATGAACTGCCACGCATGCATGATCGCTTGGAAGCAGACTCCGCGGGGTGTCTTCACCTCCGCCGCCTCCTCCTGCTGCCGACTGTGCCGTGCCCTGCCGTGCTTGATGGTGCTGAGAAGACGGGGTGTGGAGGTGGGGGGGGGGGGGGGGGGGGGGGAGAGGAGGACGACAGAGGAAAGAGATGGGGAAGAAGAAGTGGGTGAGGAAAGGGACGGGTGTGCGATGAGAAGTGACACATCCTCGTCCACACATCCTCCTCCATGCCCACGACAGACATCATATGCCTCATGACATGAGGCGTTGCAATGTAACGCCGCTACCTGAAAGCACACATCTTAACTGAGATGACAAGCTTTCTCTCTCGCCCTCGCTCTCCCTTGCCCCCTCGCCCTCCTTGCTTAGACGAGAGACGGAAGACGTTGGTGCCACAGCTTAGAAAAAACTGGAAATGAAAGCGTAGGGGAGGGGCAGGGGAAAGGAGCGAGGGGAGGGGGAGGGGAGAGAAACAGTTGATGTGAGTGGAGTGCGGATGACGCAAGGAACACGGTGTGAAGGTGAAGCATAGGTGGTTGATGTACCGCATGCATGCCGTGAACTGGTGCCTGCCAGGCTTGGTGGCGGCAATCAGCCACGGCCATCCCACATGCTGCAGGAGCCTGTATGAGTTCCACCCCAACCCAAGGCACCGCCCTGCACAGCAACACGCACCTAGAGTCACCATAAGGTCCCTGTGTGGTACCACTGAGGAATGGCAGCATTCGCACTCACAGCAAGCAGCCCCCCTGTGCCTGCCCCACACTCACCGAACCCACCCCCTAGTCATGCGCTGTAACACCCACAGCCGCTGCAAGCAAACCCCCATCCCATCACACAGCCTTTGATGCGCCTGCGTGCGCACCCCATGCTAACCTGCCATGCCTGCGCTCCTCACCTTGCACCCGCCTCCCTTTCCTTAGACGAAGCAAGCAGCACCCACCGCCTCCACTTTGACTCTCGCCCCCGCCCTCCCCTTGCCCCCGCCTTGTGCTCGCTCCAATGCTGCCCCCGCCGCCCCAACAGCCTGTCCGCCTCATCCACACGCTCGCCAGCAGGCGCCATCTTACTGGGCAGCGAGCAGATGGCTTTCCCTGACCTGTCGGCATTACCCGGCCGCTGGGAGAGGAGGGGAGGGAAGAGGAGGGAAGGGGAGGGAAGGGGAGGGAAGAGGAGGGAAGAGGAGGGAAGAGGAGGGAAGAGGAGGGAAGAGGAGGGAAGAGGAGGGAAGAGGAGGGAAGAGGAGGGAAGAGGAGGGAAGAGGAGGGAAGAGGAGGGAAGAGGAGGGAAGAGGAGGGAAGAGGAGGGAGTGAATGAAGGAAGATTCTAACGGATTCCCACCCCCCTAACACCCATGCTCCCCTCAACTGGTTCCCATCCCCCAACTCCCCATGCTCTCCCAACTGATCCCCAAGAACGTTTCCCCACCCCTGCTGACCTTGCTCCGACAGCGGATGAGCGCGGGTGACGCTGTGGATGGGACTGCAGGTGGGGTTGGCTGGTGGGTATCACGAGGTGACGGGGAGAGCGGGGTGAGTAAGAAGTGGCGTGCGTTGAGTGGAGTCCCACGCACACATGTCACTGCAGGTCAGCTTGCTGCGTGTGGAGGGGGGTGGAGATTGACGGGGGGGAGAGGGGAGGAGAGGGGGAAAGTGGGAAAGAAGGGGGGCTGATAGAGGATATAGAAGTGCGCCGATGAAAGGATGGACTGGTGGGTGGTTGAGTGGCGGATGGGAGGAAGCAGATGGCGTTGATGCTGGTGGGAACCTGCATGGCGCATGGCAGGCAGGTAGGAAAGTAGAAAAGGAGGTAACAAGTTATATTGAGGGAAAGAAAGGCCCACACTGAACAAAAAAGGAAGCTCAGGAACTTCATTAACCATGTGAGGACATGGCACCATGTGAGGACATGGCACCATGTGAGGACATGGCACCATGTGAGGACATGGCACCATGTGAGGACATGGCACCATGTGAGGACATGGCACTATGTGACAGCGTGAGACAATTTGAGACAATGCAACACAAAAGAGTGATAAATGTGTCACTGAGTGCAGGCGCTCACGCGGCTGCACTGTAACAAGATGGAATTCACCATGCGAGATGCATGGGAATTCTCGAACGGGTCCTTGCCTAGCTAGCTACGAACAACAACACTTGCTAGCCTCGGGCCTTTCCCCTTATCCCTCTCAAGATGGTTAGTACAGCAGGGCATAGCATCGAGGCGTGATGTCGAGATGTTATGCTAGATTGAGTAGCGACACGGTCTTCCTATCCGAGTCGCGCCTCTCTTCTCCTAGGATAAATATCTCTTCTCTGATTCTTGTTGTATCATCTCATCCTTGGATCTTTCTAATTCTATATTCTTGGAATCTCTCTTCCTATCTTCTCTCATCTATGTCTCCAGAGCTGGGCTTCTCAGCTTAGCCTAGCTTCTCTCCCTTCCGTTGCAACGTTTCTTTCTCTTTCTAGCATAGGGTTTAGGGTTTAGGGTTTAGCTAGAAAGAAACGTTGCAACGGAAGGGAGAGAAGCTAGGCTAAGCTGAGAAGCCCAGCTCTGGAGACATAGATGAGAGAAGATAGGAAGAGAGATTCCAAGAATATAGAATTAGAAAGATCCAAGGATGAGATGATACAACAAGAATCAGAGAAGAGATATTTATCCTAGGAGAAGAGAGGCGCGACTCGGATAGGAAGACCGTGTCGCTACTCAATCTAGCATAGCATCTCGACATCACGCCTCGATGCTATGCCCTGCTGTACTAACCATCTTGACAGGGATAAGGGGAAAGGCCCGAGGCTAGCAAGTGTTGTTGTTCGTAGCTAGCTAGGCAAGGACCCGTTTGAGAATTCCCATGCATCTTGCATGGTGAATTTCGTCTTGTTACATAATTCCCCTCCCTAAGAAGCATCGTCCCGATGCTTACCCATACTAACTATTCAAGGGTCTAAAACCAGAAAATACAAACAACCAAAATTCCTAAAAATGCAAATCAGAAAGTATTTACAATATAAGCTTGCTCTTCATTCTTGGTCTTCACTCTTTTTCATGCTTCAGCAGATTCAAGAAGAAACACAGAGGAGGAGGTTGGCATATAGCTGCAGCCCATACTACAACTCTTGTGGTCACATGCAGCTATTGGTCAATGGTCGTGGACACTTTCAACTAAGCCCATGCTTTCTCAGCTATGGCGCTTCTAACCGAGCATCACAACCTATACCAAGTTGCCTCAACGCTGGTGCCTATAGCACGTCCAGCAATACCGCCAAATATGCCTAAAAGGAGAAAACCAGAGAAGAGAAATGACATGGCAAACCATCTAGCCTAGCAACCTTCTGGATCCACTAGAGTTAGTGAAATAAGGTGCTGATGCTCTTTATAAACAGCAGAGCATAGGGCTAGGAACATGTCAAACTGAATCAGAAGAAAGGAGGGATAGAAAATGGAGACATGATTGCCTTGCTCGTAATTGCTCTATTTACTATCTGCACTTTATAGAGCATAAGCAAGAGCAATTAGAGAAGTAACGTTTGAGATTTTCCAGCAAATTAATAACGTTGTAGGGAGTAGAAAACAGATTCACGAACTCCAAAGAAGTTGGAAATAGATGTGAAGACCAAATAGAAATTCTTCAGCAGAAAGATTTCAGGTCATGCAACTGAAATTCCGAACACTTTTTACCCAACTACACCTTGGGCTGGAAAGTTGCATGGAGAACGAAGTGTAGCAGTAGGAAGACACGTTGAGCAGAAGAGTCACTTCTAAATTCGAATTTCTGCTCCCAATTCTTCTGGTTGGCTGAAATTCGTCCACGCAGGTTCAGGAATCTCGCCAACACCAAAAACGAATTCGACTTGAGCAGATTGGAGCAGGAGCTAACTCGTCATTCTAGCTCCTCAGAAGATAGTAGTCTCGTAGAAATCGAATTGAAGAATTTCGTAAGCTAGCTCGAAATTAGAAGTTAGGAAGAAAGCTGCTAGCTTAGCACAAGAGAAGAAGTCGAGGAACGTTAGGCTCTGACACCAATGAAACAAGGCTACGGCGCTACTGCCGCGCACGGCGCGGTTGGCCTGGCCGGCCTAGGCGAAGGTGGCGCCGTAGCTAGAAAGAGAAGGAGAACGTTGGCAGCGGAAGGGAGAAAGATAAACGAGAGAGTTGAGAGAGATTCAAGAAGTGGATTCTTAGATTAGACAAAGGATGATATGATACAACAAGAATCAGAGAAGAGATATTTATCCTAGGAGAAGAGAAGCGCGACTCGGATAGGAAGACCATGTCGCTACTCAATCTAGCATAGCATCTCGACATCACGCCTCGATGCTATGCCCTGCTGTACTAACCATCTTGACAGGGATAAGGGGAAAGGCCCGAGGCTAGCAAGTGTTGTTGTTCGTAGCTAGCTAGGCAAGGACCCGTTTGAGAATTCCCCTAGTCTTTCTTGCATCATCCTATTCCGTATTCTTCTAATCGTCTATTTTTGGAATCTTTCTTCTCGATCTCAACGTCTCCTGGAGCTAGGCCTTCTCTCTCACATGCCTAGCTTAGTCAGAACTTATAGCTTACTTGTTTCTGTAGGCTATAGTGGGGTATCCCATAGGGGGTACAACCCAATTAGGGTTTCCTATTTGTACTCACTTCGTTCATAGTCATTCCATTCTCGTTCTTTGTTTCCACATGGAATCAGAGCAGGTTCCCTCCTAGGGACTGCTTCTAGGGCCCACCGAACCGCGCCCCGAGGCGCGTTTTTTTTTAGCGACCCGTCGTGTCGCCCCTAGCGGACCGTTGCGCCGCCCTTCCCCTCGCGGCTCTGCCGCCCTTCCCTAGCGGCCCCGCCGCCCTTCGATCGCGGCCCCGCCGCCCTCTGCTACGCGGCCCCGCCGCCGCCCTTCGATCGCGGCCCCGCCGCCCTCGGCTACGCGGCCCCGCCGCCCTCTGCCTCGCGGCCCCGTCGCCCTCTGCTACGCGGCCCCGCCACCCTCTGCTACGCGGCCCCGCCGCCCTCTGCTACGCGGCCCCGCCGCCCTTCGATCGCGGCCCCGCCGCCCTTTGCCACGCGGCCCCGCCGCCCTCTGCTACGCGGCCCCGCCGCCCTCTGCTACGCGGCCCCGCCGCCCTTCGATCGCGGCCCCGCCGCCCTCTGCTACGCGGCCCCGCCGCCCTCTGCTACGCGGCCCCGCCGCCCCCTGCTACGCGGCCCCGCCGCTCTTTTCGGTCGCGGCCCCGCCGCCACTCTGCTACGCGGCCCCGCCGATCCGCCCAGCAGCAGCCGCCGCCGCCTGAGCCGCCGCCGAGCCGCCGCCGAGCCGCCGCCGAGCCGCCGCCCGAGCCGCCGCCGAGCCGCCCGTGACGCCCGAGCCGCCCGCGCCGCCCAGCAGCAGCCGAGCCGCCGCCGAGCCGCCGCCGCCTGAGCCGCCGCCGAGCCGCCGCCGAGCCGCCGCCGAGCCGCCGCCCGAGCCGCCGCCGAGCCGCCTGTGCCGCCCAAGCCGCCCGCGCCGCCCGAGCCGCCTGCGGAGCCGTACTGCTGTTCCTCTGCTGCTGACCTACCCGCCTCTCCCAGCCCGGTGAGATTTTCAGCTGCTGTCATGGCCACCCCCAATGTTCTTACCTTTGACGCTGAGGGGAGGGCCATTGACTTTGCCGTCTGGATTGAAGACCTGCAGCTGTACTTACTGTGTGATGCGATAGATGAGGTCTCTCTCTTTGACTTTGTCTCTGGCGCTGTCCC